GAAAGAGTGCCAGGAAGGGTGGGGAGCACGTGCAGCCAGAGGCGAGCGTGGTAGAGGTGGTGGGACCGAGGAGTGGACAGGTAGAAAGTGAGCGTGGAGCTGCAGGTGGAGGCGGAGGAGTCTGCCGGGAAGATGGAGAAGGGATTGAGGACTGCAATCGGAGATGCGCTGTCCCCTGACACTCCCGCAAGCCCTGCCAGCTGCTCCCCCTAGCTCCCACCTTTAGAGGAAGCAGGGACTCCGAGGCCAGTCCTGCTCCAACTCTTCCTCTTCCTCCTGTGCCGCGCTCCCTCTGCTTCTGCCGTTGCTGTCATTCTCCCCTCCCTTCTCCCTTTCCCTGCCTGCTCTCTGCCTGTCTCTCCCTCACCCACCTGTGATGGCAGCAAAGCTGATGACCTGCTCCCCATTCGCTGGAACCACACTTGCCCGCTGCAGTCTCCGGAGGGCTCTGGTCAGCGCTGCCTGGGGTAGAGGATGAGTTATTATGGGACGACCGGTCAGGTGTAGCCCCTCGAGGATCTGCTGCTTGGCTAGCTCAAGGACCAGAGCTCGTTCTGCTTGGGGTGCCAGTGTGGGGCCTCCACAGGAGGGACACACAGACCCTGCCCTCTGTGCCCACACCAGTGCCCACAGCAGCACCAGCTGCAGCTGGACATCAGAGAGTCCCATGCTCCTGGTGAATGGCCCTGGGTCAGGTCGGGAGCCTCGGATGGCTGTAGCTCCTTCTGTTGAGTCTGGTTGCGTGGAGGCCAATGAGGGCACAGCGGCAGCAGACAGCAGTGCCACACCTACCCTTGGCCAAGGGTAGAGCCACCTGTCTTCTGTTGCCTGGGACTCAGGAAGGCAGACAGTGGACGGTCCGATGGGTAGCTGTGTTCAGTGTAGTCTGCCAGTTTGACCCTCACAGCTCATGTCTGGCTACTGACTGGGGCCTCTCTAGAGCCAGCAGCCTAGGGCTCCCTCACCTAGTGGTCAGCAGGCAGACCTACCCTCTGAGCCCCAGGATTGGCCAACTGTGCTGCCCATCAGGTCCCCGCAGGGGGTGGAGGTTCCCCCCTGGAGCTCAGGTTTCACCATCTGGCCCTGGTCACGGAGCTTGAGGCAGGGGTATGGGGGTGGGGGGGCTATGTGGACACGCATGATGCAAGAAGGAGGATGATTTCACATGCTCAGTCCCCAAGGTCTGGGGCTCGGGGGAGGGAACTCCATACGAGCAAGGTGGGAAGGGCAGTTTCCCCCATACCTACAGTCTGTCTAGCTTGCCCATCCACCACTGCTACAGCAGTTTCCATGAGGCAGCTGGGGATCCCAGTGGTTATTTCTCTGGGCTGGAAGGTGAACTCTGGTCTTTTTATTTCTAGCAATGGGGCTGGGACAGTGGTGAGAGGCTGGGGGTGGGAGGAACGGAGTCCTCTTGCCCAGGCCAAGGTGGCAGTGCCACGGGGCACAGAAGTCACCCCCTGACCTTGCCTGTGCTGACCGCCCAGAGTCCAGTTGGACTGGAGCAGTGTGGACGAGGGCTGGAGCATTGGGGGGGGTAGCATGTTACTGTGATGTCTGAGGAAACCTAGAGAGGTGGGGGTAGTGGTGATGCAATCTTACAGCAGGGCAGAGTCCATCAAGGATGGCAGAGGGGCATGGGAGTTGGAAGGGCCTGTCCCCAGCTGCTGGTTCTCTTTCAGGGCACTGTAAGAACTGCCTAGATTTGGGATATCCTAGAAGTGGTGCCAGCCTCTGTTCACGGTGGTGGGAAATGGAAGGTTTATTGACTTTTTCTTTTTAATTAATTAATTTATTTGGGGCTGCATTAGGTCTTCGTTGCTGCGTGAGGAGGCTACTCTTCATTGCAGTGCGCAGGCTTCCCATTGCGGTGGCTTCTCTTGTTGCCAAGCACGGGCTCTAGGCACGTGGGCTTGGTAGTTATGGCACACGGGCTTAGTTGCTCAGCGGCATGTGGCATCTTCCCGGACCAGGGATTGAACCCATGTCCCCTGCACTGGCAGGCGGATTCTCAACCACCGTGCCACCAGGAAGCCCAGGTTTATGGACTTTTAAGAACAAAGCATTGCCAGTACAGCAACCTTAGTCCCAACCCCAGCCCTCCTTACCACACTGCTCACTGGCTTTAAATGGCCTAACCAAGGCCTCATGCCAGCCTTTCTCCTTGTGCTCAAGTCTCTTCAAGAAGCTGGGAGGAAGTGAGTGTGATTTGGAAATGTGCCCCTATTCCAATTTATTAGTCTCCCCACTATTCAGCCAGTGGGGGCTGTCAAGAGAGACTGCTAGATCTGGCACAGGGGGAGAGGTGGTGCCTTGTGGGCTAGGGCTCAGTACCACCAGTGTCCACCATGTGGCAGTGCTGAGCCACTGGACAGCAGCAGGCTTGGCACTGACCAGCTTCCCAGGGAAGGGGCTGCTCTGGGGAGTGGAGAGATTCAGAGCACTTCCCAACCTCTCACTCTGGTGACCCTGCCTCTACACCAGAAGACAGAGAAGCTGGTCCCTCAGCTCTCTCCCCTCGCCACTGTTGGAGAGCAGAAGCTGTCGTCAGGACCACTTCACTGCTAACTTCGATTTGGTTTTGGATCTCATCGCTGCTGACACGTGGCAGTGGAGCGTGGTAATGGGTGCCAGGCTCTTCCTAGAAACTTAGGGCACCTGTGGTGGGGAGGGGGCCAATGAGACTTTTAGATGCTCCTCTCCACCCTAGGTCTTGAGTCATATTCAAGTCCATCTGTCCAGGGCTCTCCCCAGCTCCCTCTCTATCATGAGTGACAGCCCTCTACCCCCTGGGGTCTGGACCACAGAACTGCAAAGCAGAGGTTTCTGCCCATGGTGTTGTCTCAGGGGCTTACCTGTGGGTGAGCCTGAGTCAAGCGAAGCAACAGGAAGTGGCTGCAGGAGTCATTGACCCCACCTCTCCCCTCCCCTCTGTGTCAGATGCCCCCAATTTCCAGCTCTTCCTACCCTCTTGCTGCTGTGCCTGGCCTGCCCCTACCTCCCTCCTGACACTTACGTCAGAACCCAGCTATAAATATGCTCTTAGCATCTTAGTCACTTTTCTCAAGAAGTGCTCCCAGGTTATAAATACCCCAGCCATCTGCCTTCCAGGCCCGCCCTACCACCAACCTGGTTGGGGGCTGGGGGGTAGCGACAGGCTTGAGGGTGGGTAAGGAAGTAGAATGAGGGAGCCTGAGCGATTATCTTGCCCGAAAGAGAAAAGCCTGACCAAGTCTAGAGTTAGGGGCCAGGGAGCTCTGGAAGAAAAGATTTGGAAGAAGACAATTCCACCCTTTCTCTTTTTTTTTCAAAGACAGAGCCAAGGGCTTCCCTGGTGGCGCAGTGGTTGAGAGTCCGCCTGCAGATGCAGGAGACACGGGTTCGTGCCCCGGTCCGGGAAGATCCCACATGCCGCAGAGCGGCTGGGCCCGTGAGCCATGGCCGCTGAGCCTGTGCGTCCGGAGCCTGTGCTCTGCAACGGGAGAGGCCACAACAGTGAGAGGCCTGCGTACCGCAAAAAAAAAAAAAAAAAAGACAGAGCCAAAAAGGAAAAGGAATAATACTGATCCTTCTAAATTTAGTTTATTTTAAAAGTTGCTATTTTGTTCATCTTGTATTTTTTTGCATTGATTTTGATTTTTTAAAATATTGCATTAAGATCCTATTTATCTTGACTGATGAATTTTTTGGCATCCCCTTAAAATTCTGCCCCCAAGGCAAGAGCCTCGCTTCTCCTCACCTTAGTCTTGGCCCTGGGGACTGAAGCTATAGTTGGAGGGTGGGAGGTTAGATCTGGGGGATGGGTGGATTGGGGGTGGGAGACAGCGGTGGAAGGGGGAGGCAGAGCCACCAGAAGACTTCCTTAGATTCTCTGCTTGGATGAAGATTTCCTCAAGTCAAAGTTGGGATAACTTCCATGAGTTTGGTCCTGAAGCCCCACAGCTCGGATTTGCAGTCCCCCAGGAGGTCTCTTTCAGACTTTCTCCTTTTAGGGTTCCATTTCCAAGGACCTCAGACCTAGATAGGAGGGGGTTATATGCTGAGCAAACACTGACATCACGTTTCCCAAAGGACACATGGGTTTTGCGCAAACTCGGCCTTGGGCTGCAGACAATATTGACCCCATGGTTCAGGGCTGTCCAACCAAAGGGAGGAGATGGTGGGGGAAGAGGGCAAAGGTCTAGAGAGGACCCAGTCTCAGAGCAAATGCCCCCCTCTCCTCACCCCAGGCCTTCCTTTTCTTCTCCTTGTCCCACTCAAATGGCCCTTGGCCAGTTCCAGCTTCCAGACAGGACTTCTGGCTGGAGCCCTGGGGGTGAGTGAAGGGAAGGCAGCCAGCTGGGAGCCATGCCTCTGCCTCCCCCCATGTGTGTGCCCGCAGGTTGTCACCTAGTTGCTGACTGAGCAGTGATCTGTCTCATTTCTTGGAGCGAGGACAGAGAGAGGAGAGGAGCAGGTAAAACCCAGGTCTTTATTAGCCATAAGACAAGCAAAGACGGTTCTGGGAGGGAGGAGGGGGGCTAAGAAAGAAGAGGAAGCAGCCTGGCGAAGGAAGAGTCATGATGTGTGGGATGGACATAATAGCTCAGCCCTAAGGAGGCTGTGAGGAGAGAAAAGTGGGCAGGGCAGGCAGGCTCTGTGTCATCTGGGGTGTCGGTCAGGGTCCTGGCAGGACATAAAAGACCCACTCAGCTGTCTGTGTTTGCATCACTAAGAAGACTTAATGAAGGACTTCTTTACAGAGGTATGGGCAGGGTTAAGGGAACCAAGGAGGGATATTGAAGCACCCAGGGACCGGCAAGAATGGAAAGCCATTACAAGCCCATAGCATGGAAGCGGTGATATCAGAACTTAGGCAGAGCCGGAGCCGTGGAGGGGGTGGGGAGCTAGACAGGAGCTGTAGGGACATGGACGCAGCCACAGTCACACAGAACCATGGAACCTAGGCAGAAGGAGGAGGAATAAGAAACACCCTGACCTCTGTCTCCTCCTATCCTTTGATCTCCTGCCTCTGTCTCCTCTTAGTCAAACTCAG